ATACATACATAATACATATATATATATATATATATATACATGCATATCAAGTACTAAGGACAAAAATTGGCAAAAACTATTCGTGATAAGAAAATCGTAAGATTGCTTGCTTCAATCGCGTTCATGCATATGTGCAAGTTTGTTTGCAAGTCTGTTATACGTATGCATTAAAGCTCGCATAAGTTTATCTATGTTTTCGATTGCGAATACCACCAACAACCGTTTTATGCAATCGAGCACGATGTTGTGTCTGGTGCAAAGGCTCTCTGCTACATTCTACACACGAGGATGGCTGGCTATGTGTCCCGGGTTATTAGAATAACTCTGTTGATTGATCAACACCAAACTTACCTGTTTAGATACCAGGTTGCCATTGCTTAGCATCACGGGGAACTTTTCCCTGTCAGCGTGAATGGTGGTGGTGTAGGTGCTCATCACATCAGGTCGGTCGGGGAAGTATGTAATGCGTCGGAATCCCTCTGCCTCGCACTACAGTAAGAAGCAGTACTCACAATTATTGGTAATCATAAGGAATCAATTGTATATTTGTTGATGTCATCGCAGGTGTCAGAACTACAAGCGCAATGGTGATGCTAAGTCAAAACTAAGGTAACTGATTCTGAGATGATGAGGGGTCACACTCACAATTCCCGTTAGGTGAGTGAAAAAATCTCAGTCGATAGGCAAAGTCTGTGATGGATTAGTTTTCCACGCACTGTAGAGAATTTGGGATCTTGATACTCTATTTCCAGGATCATACTATTGATGAGTTCCTTCCGTGGACGGGAGGTTACCATATATGATGATGTGCAGTGTTCTATCATGATACACTGATTTTTAGTGTGAGCTGTGATGATCCCGGCCCACTCGCACAGAAAGCAACTGGGAATAAAAAATCCCTTTCTCTTATTCCCGTGTTTAAATTTTTATCTATAGCCCCAAGGGTATGTAGATTGGGTGGCTGAGCACAAATTTCTACGGTGCTCGATAGCAAAGGACATGAATATATATGTATATTGACATTGAATTGATACATTTTGACACTGCAGACATAAGTAGGTTTTCAACCCTCCAACATGTACTTTCTAAGTTTCAAGCCCATGTTCTGCAGCTGATGGTCTGACGTGAATGTGATGCGCAAACACAAATTCACTGCTACTGCGATCAACAGGTACCCCTGAGAGAAATCAATTGATGTCTCTAAATCGGTCCTTGACACGTGGACACGCACAGACCCTTGTGGCATGGATGTGTGGCTCATTTGGTTATTCCGTGTGCCCCTCTCGTCTCGCCTTGGCTCATGTGTGTGCTGTGACTCTAATCCAAGTGCAAACCACAATTGTTTCCAACAATATCTTTATCATTTACGACACGAGCCATCAGATGTTTCAGTCAGCACAGAGGACTGCTATGCTGTAAACTCCATACAACCTTGCCTGGTGGTAGTTATCCTTCTATCTTGGATCGGTGTGATGAGCTTTCAGAACCAATTATGCACTAACCCCAGTGAAAGAATGTACACCTACCTGCGTGCAGAAGTTGTCTCCACTTTTATAAAGTCCCGCCAATTCTGTATTCTCTTTGGCATTGAATCGAGTAGTGATACGTATCTCGGCCGGTTCTGTCACATTGTGAATCGTCAGTTTGTCCTGTTCTACTTGCATTTTCGTGTCGCCACTGATTTCCTCACCGTTTATGCATACTTGTTGTAAGCTTAGGATACTCGCATCGCCATCCAAGATTAAGGATGTGGCACCTAGAAAAAAGTCACATTGCATACTATAAACGCGTCGAAAAGTAGAGTACTTTCATAGGAATTAGGGTACATACTAATCCCACTGCGATTTCCAGGCTGCATTTGTCTCGTCATATACACTATTCTAGATAAGACCATTCGTCATTGGCCGCATGTAGTTGATTGCAACAAAATATTTATAGCAAGTCATGGAATCATCATGCTACAACTCAGTGGGCATATAAAACCTCATCTGCACGCCAACGATCACTGCAGTGTGTGGCTTATAATCCTAGCCAGTATGATCGCAATCCAGCTCTTATACACAGAAGAAGAACAATAAGTACGTATGTTTAGCTAGCAATATACTTATATATATATATATATATATATATATATATATATATATATATATTGTGTGTGTGTGTGTGTGTGTGTGTGTGTGTGTG